TAGACAGCCTTTTTTTTTTTTTTTTCTTTCAACTTAGACAGCTGAAAATACTTTGAAAAATAAACAACCATTTCGTGAAAAAGATGACAACGTTCTACGTGTAACGTTAAAAATAATTATGCTAAATTTAGATAGTATTGTCTATCAAGACAAAAACCAAGACTTAGCAATAGCTTGTTTTGGGTTGTTATTTTCTGGAGTTTAAAAAAAAATGTGCTGTAATATGTGAGGTTAAAATGTGTTCACAAAAAATGTAAATATTTTCTTGTATTCATTGGATGTACTATTTAGAAGATTAAATTCTATTCTTCCAAAGTTTTCTCCTCAAAATTTATCTTAGTGACACTTTAGTTCATCAGTTTTTGCCTAATATATATATATATATATATATATATATATATATATATATATATATATATAAAAGTAACGGTTTAATTCATGCCAACACAAGTTAGTTCAGTTGGTAATGATGAAATACTTTTTAACAAAAAAAATATGTGTTTGACTTATAATCTCGAAAGCATGCCCTAATTTGCGGTGATAATCAAAGTTCAACCATTCAAACTTAATTTGGTGCGAACACAACACTCTTTCTATAATTTTTTGTCAAAGAAACATGGGTGTTGAATTGATGTCCTTATTGCGACTCTCAATATTATAACGTGTAGTAAGAATACGATACATATTAGATCGCGGTGGGTTAGGGCATTCTATCCTACATCGAAAGATCATGGGGCTTTTACTCTGAATTTAAGATTCACAGAAATCCTGTTTAATTATCAATTGACTGAACAGTGATTCTTTGTGGGTCTCCTTTAGATTGCTTTTAGGTCGTTCTTCTATTAACTCCTGCGTTTGTTTAAATTAGGTGGATGTGTGTGGGTTATTTATCAATTTCGATAAAAAAGAATCGATACATATTACCTTATCGTAGACAGTACCATTTTTGCCCTGGATGACACATCTTTTCATGAAAAGATGACAACATCCTACGTGTAACATTTAAAATAACTATACTAAAATAATTATGCTAAATCTAGATGGCCTTGTCTATCAAGACAAATACATCGTATTCATTGCATACATCATTCAAAAAGATCAAGGCACGGTTTGTTTTTTTGGGAATGGGAGGGAAAGAAAAGAAAAGAAAAAAAAAATGGAGGGATAAAGTTTTTTATATTTGGATTGGTTTTTGAGGAGGGGAAAGAAAGAAATGGGAGGAAAAGAGAGGGATAAGGTTTAATTATTTTTTGGCAACCTATTTTTCATTTAAAAGCTGGGCAAAAACGAAGGATAAGTATATAAAAATTAATGAAAATTTAAAATTTCCTATTAAACTTATCATATGTTTATAGATTAAACTTTAAATTATGGATAAAAAATAACTAACGTGTTGTGTTCCGTTCGTAATCCAAATAAAATGGACGAACTCAAGTTTCCTTTATTATTGTTTCTTTTCTTTTTCATTAGAATCCTCTCCTTTCCTTCTCTTCCCTTTCCTCCAATCCAAACGCTGTCTAAATTTTGTCCTTTCAAAGTTTTTCCCTCCAAATTTATCTGATGCCACATCAGTTACATCAGTTTTTGCCTAATTGTTCATCTACATATAGAAGACACATAAGATCTATATGTAGAAATATGCCTTTAATGCATTATTGGTTGGTGTGGGCACAAGATTACATCTCTTTTATCTTAATGATACTTAAACTATATAATTAATCAACTTTTAACCCTACAATTATTAAATGCATATTTTTACCTTTCAAATTTCTAAAAGGATATACTTTCAACCCTATTGACTAGAGATACTTTCAAAAACCTCTCTTGAAATTTATGAAACTGCCACTTGGCACCTTTGAATTTGAAGATGGGACCATTAATCACTATCATAACATACGAATTGACAAAATTATCTTTACTACGTTAGCAGCTTTTAGGCAAAAAAGGTGGAATTGACAATTTTGTAGAAAATTCAATATATGACAACAAAAAAAGGTGGAATTGAGAGAAAAATATATATCTCTCTCTCTCTTTAAATGACTATTATATGAATATTAAAATAATACAAGGTTGAGATCAATATAAAAAGTATGATTTTAGGAGATCTTAGCAGTATTTTTGAAACTTTAGAAATGTCAAGTAATATTAACAAAAGTCTCAGGAGAAGATTTTAAAATTATCTTTAGTCAAAAAGATGACAAAAATACACTTAATAGTCTTTTATCAACAATTGCAACCTTAAACGTCCGTGGGCCATCCAGATTTCTTGACCCACTCTTTTTATAGTGTACAACAAATGCGGTGTTGACGTGATGTCTTTCTAATGTCGTCATTTGTGGACCCATTTTCCCCACACAACAAAACTCCCTATTGTGTCCAGTGTCCTCCTAATGTCGTCATTTTCTCGACACAACAAAACCCCCAAACAACAACCGACTCCAGTCTCGGCTTTACTGTATAAAGGGCCTGACGATTTCCTCCCATATTCACAAGTTTCTAGCTTCATCATCATCTCTTCACGGACCTCCGTGTTTCCAATTTTACATTTTTTTTTGTTTTTTTTGCAAATATCTCTCTGGCTGGCAAAATTATGTCAGAAATGAACCTTGAACTTCTGCCGGAAGAATGTATAGTTCAAGTGTTCTCTCGCACATCTCCGCGAGCTGCATGTCAGGCGTCTCTGGTCTCCAATGGGATCCGTGATGCAGCTGAATCTGAAGTTTTGTGGGAGAAATTCTTGCCATCCGATTACCTGGATATTCTTTCAAGATTGGTTTCTCCATTGGAGTTCAAATCAAAAAAGGATCTGTTTCTTAAGCTCTCTCACCCTCTCCTCATTGATGGTGGCAACAAGGTATCATCACCGTTCATCAGTCAAAGCATTAGTGCATATTCAAACCCTCCATTTTTTGTTTTTGTTTTTTGACGTTCACGATTGCTTCTTGCTTTTGTTTTCAATCAACTACATCATGTGGGCCAACAATTTTAATACAATTATTAAGCCATAATCGATCATCCACTGCTTCTTTCATGTAATTAACAAATGCTTTAATCTTGCTCTTGCATTCATTTTCCGTTTCTTGTTTTCTTTGATCCAAGCTTCTAGTGAGTGTTCGATGAACACGTGTAAAATTAAAATAGGCGTTAATTTTTTGGAAAAGCAAAATAAAATGAATCCAAAAAAGTGTATAAATACAAGGGACAGACAGAAATTTTGATGCGTGAAATTCATATAGTAATAGATTAGATGAGATTTAGGTATATTAACAAGTGCTTAGCAGGTACTCTTGTTTATCAGAAGTAATTGAGCAAGTGTTTAGTATGTGTGTGTGTGTGTTTATCCCTTTATCATGGCCGTTTTCTTTTACCAAAATCTGCACCGTTTACTTGGAAAGAGTCCGCATTCACAGAGAGTGGTGATGCTGTTGGATGGTCATTGATACTGATTTCCTTATCTTGTGACAAATGCAGACGTTTTGGATAGACAAATTTGCGAACAAAAAATGTTACATGTTGAGTGCAAGGGAGCTGTCAATAACGTGGTCCAGTAATCATCTTTACTGGTGCTGGAAACCCTTTCTTCCGTCAAGGTAAATACTTCTTCAGATTCCTAATCAAAGTAGAAAACTCTACACCACACCACTCATTGAAAGCTTCCCCCTTTGTGTGTATTGTCCTATTTGCATATATGCCAACAACAGATTCCCTGAAGTGGCTGAGCTGATAATGGTAACATGGCTGGATATCACCGGGAAGATCAACACTCGAATGCTGTCACCCAAGACAACATATGCAGCCTACTTGGTGGTTAAACTTGCAAATCGTGCGTATGGGCTACACTCATATCCCTTGGAGGTTATCATTGATGCCGGGGACCAGAAATCTTGGGGCATAACTCTTCTCAGGCACAAGAAGTGTAGCATTTGCTTGTTGCGGACACTTGACGAGGTAGTGACACCAGGGTTCTGTGAAAGGAATGAAAGAATCCTGCACGAGAGGGAAGATGGATGGATGGAGGTTGAATTGGGTGAGTTTTACAATGATGGAAGTGAAAAGGAGGTGAAAATGTGCCTGAGAGAGGTTGATGGTCAGCACATTAAAGGTGGCCTTATTGTTGAGGGCATAGAGCTCAGACCCAAATCATGATATGATATGATATTCTTGGTGATGGCTGTTTCTTAATCATATGGCCAATAATCCCCTTTTCTTCTTCTACACTCTAATGCAGTAAGTAGTTCAATTGTACCCAAAAATGAATAGCAGCTCCTCCTCCAACAACAATTTCAATCGTGGCCAATTACTAGAAGAAAAAGCTTTTCTGCATAGGTGCAGCGATTCATTGGGATGAAAGATATTTTGGAGAGAAAGAGGGCCATAACATTCTCTAAAAATTCACTTTTAATTTTTTAAACCAGCATTACAATCCTATCTGTCCTAAAATAAAATGAAGGTTAAGAACAAATGAATCTGAAATTCAACACTTCAATTAAGACGATTCACTCATACGTATTTTACGATTAATTTAATTTAAGAATTAATCTTTAGTATCAAAGCATATATTCAATTTAATTTAAAAATTAATCTTTCATGCGAAAATATATACATTATTCGGTCGACAATAAATCTCAATTTCAATTTTGCATTTGTTTACATGCACTTCACTGCTCCTAATGTTTTCTGTCAAAACATTAATTCTTAATTCAAACAAAAGGAATACAATAACTTATCGCTTGCTAAAAACTCCAAACTAAAAATGATATGATTATTCTTGAGCATTTTCCAAAATGATAAATGTCAATTCAACCAATGTTATCAAAATGAAATTTAAAAAAAAAAAAAATCAGATTAGAAGGCTCTCACCCCAATATCTTTACTTTGGGCTATTGGGCTTTTCCTAACCAAAAGAGGTTGTGTAAGTAGTTAACAAGTATACAGGCCTGATTAGATTAAAAAGTTGTTCTGACACAGCTATCTTTGAATTTTTTTTTTTTTAACTGTAGGTGAGAATTAAACCCACTACTTACGGCCCAAAGACGAATTTCAACCCACTATTTCGGTGGACTTTGCCACTTGGAAAGACTCAACCCTCCTTAGTCCTTTCCTCTTTACTCCGCTCTCTTTTAAAGGAGTTGCCGGAAATCACAGGTCTCGACGGCGGCGATGATGAGACGAAGAGGTTTTGCTGCTGCTGCTGCTGCTGTTTATATTTCTCAATTTCAGAAAGCATCAGGCACTATTGCTGCTGCTACTGGTGAATTAGCTTTTCATTCTGCTGCTGATGCTACGAAATACCCATTTGAGGGTTTCACAAATGTGATTAATAACGACGTAAACAATCTGGAGGATGCTGTGGGATTGTACAATGATATGGTCCGCATCAGGCCTCTGCCTTCTGTTATTCAGTTCACTCAACTCCTTGGCCGCATGGTTAAGATGAAGCACTATTCTTCTGCGATTTCCATTTTCAAAGATATGTGGTTTTCGGGCATTCCAGTTGATGAGTACACCCTGACTATCTTGATTAATTCTTACTGCCTCTTGGAACGAGCGGATTTGGGATTTTGTGCGCTGGGGCTTTTCTACAAGAATGGCATTGTCCCCAATGCGGCTACCTTTAGCACTTTAGTCAGGGGACTTTTTCGACAGCATATGATACCCCAGGGGCAAGAATTGTTCATCAAGATCATTCGCGAAAGGTTGTGTGAACCCAATGGGGTCATGTTTGGAGCCGTGATTAATGGACTCTGCAACGTGGGGAACACTGGCAAAGCCGTTGAACTTCTCAGAGTTATGGTTAAAGAAGGAAGAGTTAAACCGAACGTCATAATTTACAGCACTGTCATTGACAGCTTGTGCAAGAATAAAATGGTAGATGAAGCTCTTGACGTTTTACATGAGATGGTGGAGCAGGGAATTGCCCCAGATGTTGTTACCTACAATTGTTTGATCCAGGGTCTTTGCAAATTTGGTAGATGGAGAGAAGCTAAAGTATTACTGACAGAGATGAATAATTTTCACGTTGTACGAGATGTTTATACATTTAATATTGTGATTGATGCACTATGTAAGGAAGGAGAGGTAGAAGCTGCAGAAGATGTATTTAAAACCATGATTGAGCAAGGTGAGCGACCAGATTGCGTGACATATGGTGCTTTGATGAATGGATACTGTTTGCAGGGCCGAATGGATGAAGCAAGGAGAGTTTTTGACACCATGGTTGCTAATGGAGTTGTTCCGAGTAGTGTCAACTATAATATATTGATCAACGGATATTTTAAGAAGACGAGAGCAGATGATGCTCTACATCTTTTTGAAGAAATGCAGTGTAAAGGTTTAACACCTAGCACTGTTACATGCAATACAGTCTTGCAGGGATTGTTTAGGGTGGGAAGGTCTGCTGCTGCAAGAAAATTGTTCGACCAAATGCTAACGATTCCCATAACATCTGACTTCTACACTTACTGTGTGATGTTGGATGGATTATGCAATGTTGGACACATCGAGGAAGCACTGGATTTGTTGCATAAGATGGAAGTTGAAAGAGTGGATCTCAGACATGTATGCATGTACAACATCATTCTTCATGGACTGTGTAAAATTGGGAGGCTTGATAGTGCTCGAGATCTTTTCGAAAGCCTATCTCTTAAAGGACTGGATCCAGATGTTTCAACATATACTACCATGATACAAGGGCTCTGCTCCAAAGGTTTGCTAAAGGAAGCTAAGGAGTTTCTCGTAAAGATGGAAGAGAATGGTTGCTTGGCAAATAGGATATCATACAATGTTATTGTCCAAGGACTTCTTTTGGGAGGTAAATATGATGACGCACTGGTGCATCTTGAAGAAATGGATAAGAGAGGATTCCCTCTTCATTCACATACCTTTTCCATTTTATTAAATTCAGTTAAAGAGAGTGAAAACGATCCTTCTCTTCTCAAGATACTTCAGAAGTTTGTTCCCAATATGAGGGAATACAGTCATGAATAAAAGGCACAGGTGTCTTTTAGTATATTGCAATGATTCTTCGGATGTTACTCATATTGCCTGTGAGTATCATTTTCTGGTAAAGTATATGTTTGAAATATGGAAGTCTGACGTTGTTATATGCAGTGCAATGAGTCAAGGCCTATGCACAAAAGAATTAGCTAAAGGAAGCTAAGGACTTTTGCTAAAGGTGGAAGAGAATGGTTGCTTGGCAGACAGGATCATGTAAAATGTAATTGTCTAAGGACTGCTTTTGGGTGGTAAATATGATGCTACACTGGTGTATCTTGAAGAAATGGAATAGAGAAAATTCCCTCTGCATTCACCTACCATTTCCATTTTATTAAATTCATTAAAAGATAGTGAAAGTGATCCTTCTCTTCTGAAGATAATTCAGAAGTTTGTTGCCAATATCAAGGAATGAAGTCATGAATAAAAGGCACAGGGTATCTTTTACTTGATTGCAACCATTTGCGATCCCTGGATGTCACACTCATAAGTGCAGGTCTTCTGCGCAAGAAAATTGTTCCACCTGTTGCAAAGGGCTTCCATAACATCTGACTTCTAGACTCACTCCGTGATGTTGGATGGATTATGCAAGGGTGGACACATCGAGGAAGCAGTGGATTTGTTGCACAAGATGGAAATTCAGAGATTGGATCTCAAACATATAAGTATGTACGTCGTCATTCTTGATGGATCATGTAAAATTGGGAGGCTTGATGGTGCTCAAGATCTTTGCAATAGTCATTTTCTCAAGGGATTGGATCCTGATGTCGTAACATACAGCACCATGATTCTAGGCCTCTGCTCAAAAGGTTTGCTTAAGGAAGCTAAAGACTTTCTTATAAAGATGGAAGAGAATGGTTGTTCGGCAGATAGGATCACAGACAATAATGTTATTGTCCAAGGACTTCTTTTGGGTGGTAAATATGATGACGCACTGGGTATCCTGAAGAAATGGATAAGAGAGGATTCCCTCTGCATTCACATAAATTTTCCATTTTATTGAATTCTTTAAAAGAGAGTGAAAATGATCCATATCTTCTTAAGATAATTCAGAAGTTTGTACCCAATATGAAGTAATAAAGTCCTGAATAAATTGTATAATTTTCTGTGAAATTATATGTTTCAAATTGGGTTGTCTGATCCATTTTTTCAATGATTCTGTCTTTCCGTTGAAAAATATTCCAACCAGCCTTTCAAAAGCACTCCTGGGCACTTCAGCGGAAGTTTGATGTCATTGATTTCTGGTTAATGCTTTGAAGGTTCATTCAGACTCTCTCAGTTTGAGTGGATACATATTTTTGCCATTTGCTTGTCATATCAAAGCTTTTCTTCGTTTGTCCAAAATGCTACTTCTGGTAGGTGGTCACTTTTTCATTGCTGTGGCACACTGGACTTGCGGTTAAGAGGAATGAGTCAGACAGACTCGAAGAATGGGAATGAGCCTTCATTTTCCTGGCATAGGTTTTGGAGACAGGCGTTCATCAGGTAAATGTTGGAAACATTATATAAAAATAAAAAAATGGAGAATCCCCAACCTCAATATTATGCTCCTGAGATCTTTTTGTTGGCCGCTAAGCTCTCAGTACTATTCTGCGGTTATCCTGCAGTGAATTTATTTTTGTTATTATTACAATATATATATATATATATATATATATATATATATATATATATATATATATATTTTACCTTGGAATGGAGAATTTTCTGTCTCATGGCCTTTTGTACCACTCTTTGCTCCGCTTGGAGTGTTTGAGTTAAAATTTTCATGGTCCGTTTCCAACTGTTGGTTAGATAATGAGTTATATATATATATATATATATATAACTTTTAACTAAAGGTTTTATTCCCACTCTTCTAAAAAAAGAGAAATTTTTTTATTAATCTAACTTTGACAAATAGGTCGATGGGGAAATAAACCTCCCTGTCTTGGAAATGAGAAAAAGAAAGGTAACTCTTTTACGAAGAAAAGAAAACCTTTTATCTTGTATTATTCGTTTGTCAATAAAATTTTTATTTACTTCTCAACGAATAATGACAGACCGAGAGACTCGACTAGAAGGAATCGGTGGAGCGTGTTATATATGGTAATCTTTTTAATATACAAATTAGATTTGAAAATTAGACCCTATTTGATAATCTTATTCAGCACTTAAACTTAATGGATTCAGATCTTAACATATTCATTCCGTTTAATAAACAAAAATCGAACATCTGAATTAATTAAGTGACATTAAATTTTCTAAGCAAAACTTGTTTCCAAAATTAAATGATAAGCTAACGTGATATGCACTCAAATGTATTAGATTTAATACTTAATAATTCAATAACTTAATAGATTCAAGATTTCAGACTTCAGTTTTCAAATTTCAATTTTATCAAACTCACCCTTACTATTTGTAATTGTTTGCTAGAATTTAAAAGTAAAAAATACTTACTTATCAATTTAACCTAAGGATATAATCTTCAAGAGAGCGGTAAAATTTCCCCATTCATTTGAACCACACCAATCTATGACTTTTCCTTGAGTCTTTTTTTTTTTTATAAAGAACTTTCCAAACTTACTACCATCAAACAAGAATATGGTAAAAAGGCATTGGGTACACCATGTGAGTAAGAGGATATCAGATATGATGCATATATCACATGCATCATGCATGCAACTGAAAAGTCATGCGATACGCTGATATTAGTCATCTATCACTAACCAATAATACTAATCTTTTTTTTTTTTTTTTGGGAAACGTTAAGATTATAGTGATTAAACAGAGTAATCTTTACAAAAGTTTGGGCAACGGCCCAAATTAGCTATACAATTGTACAATGACACTAAGGAAACCATTGTTCCTCATCCAAGGGAATGCATTCAGCATACAAATTAATGTGGCATTTGATTAACACTTTGGAATCAGATTTGGATTTGAGATTATTTATCCTGGGTTTAGAATGAAGTCAGTCATTTAAATACATCTGTTTGGTTCAGTTCTAGACATGTATATCATTACTACAGTTGATGTTTGATTCGTTAGCTCTTTCGAAATGGGATATAAGAAATTTTCACCAACTAAATGTATTAGTATAAATGCATTAGTAAATTTAGTATAACTAATTAATAATTTCTAGTAGTAATCATGTATAATTATTAGTATAATTGATAATATCAATTATATTATATATACTAATATACATTATATAATACATATAACTAATAATATCATTATTATAAGTCTGTAACTAATTAAATTAAATATTATATATATATAATTAAATGTAATTTTACAAATGCTTTAATATAAATATATAATATATATAATATTAATTATACTAATATATTATACAATTATAATGTATATTATATATTAAATATAATTATTATTATATTTATAATAATAAATATAAATATAATTATATAATATATTATTATTATATACACATATATATTATAATTATATGCACATATAATATTCATTTATAAATATATTTATAAATAATATATATTATATAATACTAATAAATTTATAATATATATTATTATATTTAATTAAATAATTATAAAATATATTTATATAATTATAGATGTGTATATAATAATTATATTAATATTATAATAAAATATAATTATATATGTATATAATTATATATTAATTTTTTAACAGGTGGAGGGAAGGGCCCGTTTCTAAACAGGAATCAATGGGTTTTGTTCAAAACCCTCCAGATTACTAGGGAATTGGGGAATTCCAAATTTTTAGATACGATTCCAAAATTTCAATTTCTATAGTAGTAATCAAAACAACAGTTATGGGATTTATTCCAATTCTCCATTCCGAAATCCTCTTACCAAACACCGCCTAATTTGTCTACTTCTATCTGTTTGGTCATTCTAGAGCAAATAAAATAAGCATTGCACAAACATAGAGCGTAGGCTATTGATCTCTTCCACCTGAGCGAACAGCCTGATATCTTTAGCTCTTTTTGATTTTAGTTGTCTTAGCAAACCTCCTCCTTCTTGCCATTGTTCATATTCTTACTAAAGAACACAGATGACTTCATATTTTTACTAAAAAACACAGACGACTTTTGGAGAGAAAGAGGACCATAATATTTTCTAAAAATTCACTTATTTTTTAAACCAGCATTACAATCCTGTCTGCTGTGAAATAAAATGAAGTTAAAAAACAAATGGATCCGAAATTCAATTAAGACGATTCACTCATACGTATTTTACGATTAATTTAATTTAGAAATTAATTTTTCGTACGAAAGTATATATCCGTTGAATTTGAAAATTAATCTTTTGTGCAAAAATATATACATTATTTGGTCGACAATAAATCTTAATTTCAATTTGAACTTTAAATTTTGCATTTATTTACATACGCTTCGCTCCTCCTAATGTTTTCCATCAAAAGATTAATTCTTAATTTAAACAAAAGGAATACTATAACTTATCACTTGCTACCAACTCCAAATTAAAAATGATATGATTATTCTTGAGCATTTTGCAAATTACTACGGTATTTTCATGCTGGTAAATATATCAAAATGATAAATGTTAATTCAACAAATGTTATCAAAATGAAATTTGAAAATTTAAACCCAAAAAAAAAAAATCAGACGAGAAGGCTCTCACCCGGATGCCTTTACTTTGGGCGATTGGGCTTTCCTGGTTGTGGCTTTGATCGACCCACCCGCCAAGACTCAACCATCCTTAGTTCTTTCCTCTTTAGTCTTTCCTCCTCTCTCTTAAACTAGGAGGTATAAACCGCGCGCTGCGCGGTAGAGATAAAAATGTGTATGCCCAGTTTAGTATAAATAATTGTGAAATACTACATTAAGGAAATACGTATATAGTCAAGGACATTAATATTATTCGAAAGATGAAGAAACTGGAGTAAAAAAAAATGTAACACAACATCAGAAGAATCAAGAGATTACTGCTAGCGCACTTAGCTAACAATCTACCAGTAATTAAAGTTTACAAAAGAAAAGAACCAATGTCTTGAAGGACAGGTTTAATTAAAATTCCAAAAAAAAAAAGCTCATGAAAGTGGTTGCCCTCTCCAGCAGGCAACTACGAATCCCATCCAACAACCCTTAAACATAAGCAACAAAAATTGAAGAATCCGTTGATATCCCGAAATCTTTTCCTTCTTTTCTAGGAATATCTCTTCTGAAAATGACCACAGTCCCAGTAGACACATCACGAGGTCCAATCTCTATTCTTAAAGTACTCCCTGCAGAAAAGGTAGGTAAACTTCAAAGCACAATTGTATTACATTCAACTGTAAAATAGTATTTCTTGAGATCCATACACATGACTTCCAAATATGAAATTGTTAACAGCAACAGTAGACGTTTCAAAATTGAAACTTCATACCCTTTCAGAAAACAAAGCCAACAATCACTGAAATAGCTCTAGTTGAGCTGGCCTTCAATAGATATCACTTGACTTGTTAATTATTCAAGCCAGTCTTCAAAACGTTTTGGTTGAGCAAATCACAATTGGAACCTAGCCACTCAAGTTGATTTTTTTTTAAAACTAATTTTAAACAATACCTCTAGATGCTCAAGTGAAGTAAGCTGACAAGTCTTAAAAGTAACCAAGCTTGGTGAGATATATTACAATTAACCTTCAGGAATCTTAAAGCTCCAAGTTAGTTAGTTTAGATGTAGTCCCGCATGCATTAACATTCCCAGGAAAAAAATCATTTGCAATGTTTGTGGCCATGCATTTGGAATTTTCCTCTCCCTAAATTTCTCTTATTGTCACTCATCCTTTGGTGGGAGAAGTCCAATGGCAAGCTAGATATTGGGCAAGATACAGAACATCTACAGAAGCAGGGCAAACCTTCATCTCCCAAAAGTTATATTTCCATCCAGGTGTTCTCTGATCAGAGTCATCAACCTTGATCTTTATTCCAGCTACTTGCAGAGTTTTCTTTCACTGATGATGTAGCATTAAGAACTATAGTTCTGTCACCTGTTTTTTTCCATATTGGGACAATCACACAACCCGAAAGCAGTCAATAATAGGAGCTATTCCATCTCAAGAAAGACAATTTTTTATGCACATAGCTAGGAAGCAGAAAGCTGTTACTTTACTGCACTGATGAGTCCAATTTCTTGACCAAAATCAAAACAAAAGTTGCAGAACTAATGTAATGCTAGAAATACAAAACCTGTCGGACCAAATAAGGATTAAAAAAATCATCTTTGAGAAAATTAATTAGCCCATTGAGTTCAAAACACAGCATCCATCCCGAGCCCCTATTCACTCTATCTTTGGGCGCACACATTAGCAAATGTAGTCGGTAAAACAACCAAAAACGTGCAATAGGCTCAGAAACAATTAATCAGTCTCTGTCAGAACACTGCATCCATCCCCAGCCCCCATTCACTCTATCTTTCGAGCACAAACATTAGCAAACATGGCCAGTAAATCAACCAAAAACGTGCAATATGCTCAGAAACAATTAATTAGTCTCTGTCAGAAGAAGATTCTCCTCTCCAAGCATGTAATGAATATGAAAAATTAATAAAAATAGAAGCTCTTGTGCAACAAAGATTTGAAAAAAGTTCAAGGCCAACTTAGGCATTTGTAAATCACAGTTAGCACTCAAGACCAGTACGAAGTCACATAAACTACTAACGCTAAAAGCAAAACAAGCAAAGGCTAACGTAAAGTAGATTACAGGCAAACATTAGTATCAGAGAAATAAAATGAACAACCAGTAGAAGACATTTTTGAATACCTGTACAGGTGCTAGCCTAGGTGGAAGCATTAAGCCAGTGCCATCCCCATGAATCATGATAGTATCTCCAACAAATCGCATGATAATAGCCCATGATGTCTGCCACACATGTTGCCTTGGTCTTTTTTCACCTGTAAGTTAAACAAACAGAAAGACTGTTTAGGGAATTGCACCTTTCATATTTCAAATACCACAAATAGAAAAGCAAAAAAATTGATGCAAAACAACTATATATAGTAGGATATTTTGCAAACGTCTTTAGCAATGAAAAAAGCTCAATAAATTTTAGCATCATCGTCAATTACACCAATTGAACAGCCTATAGAAAATCACAGAAAAGGGAAAGTGGTAAGACAAAAATTTTCTCAATACACAGTACAAAATGATGACAGACAACTTTTTAACTTGCATACAAGCAATCCTCTAGAGAAATGATAGCACAGTTCAGAAAAACACAGATCCAGAACATAACTTGATCAACAACTACACCTTTTTTACAACTTTTAGGGATCTCCTAATTCCTAAAGAATAGCATAAAAATTCAATCTTAACTCATGATTAACTGCAATAACAAGTGGTCGTTGAACTTACCATGTAATCAGTGGTGATAAATGGATCATTGATAGCAAGATGACTCTAGCAACCAAACATCCAGTTCTTCCAAAGCCTGTTAGACAAAGACCCATAGTAATAAAATTACAAAAAAAGATATCACAGATCTCAACTTTGACAAAAAAAAAAAAAAGCAGAACTCATCGTCACAAAAATACACTGAGACAGAATAGCTAATCAAGAAAAGCCCCTGCGAAAAGAGGAAAAATAGAACTGTGTCCGGTGTAACTGCAGGTGGTAGTTCAAGTGGGGGATATAGGAGGTGTAGTTTTTGGCCATTTATTCATTCACTTGTGTCCACCATATAAGAAAACTCGTGTCCACCATATAAGAAAGGTACCGATGAAATTCTATGATTCTTGCAGGTAAAGAAATTCTTTGAACAACGACTTGATAATAATAATAATTAGTCATAAAGAAGGACAACAATTCATGAAATTCTATGATTCTTGCGGATGTTTATATATGAGATTAAATACTCTAGAAAAGATGGGAAACGGATAGGTTAAATAAAAAGAGGGAAAAAAAAAGGAAAAGCAAAAGAAGAGGATAAAGACTAAGAGTAAACAAAGTACGTACCTTTTGGAAAACAAACCTTTGTATAAGAACCCAAATTGCCACCATCGTCTTCTTTTTTAATTTTTTTCCTTTTCTGTTTTTCACAGACAGAGCTAACTGCTGAAGCATTTATCCCTCTTCGTTCTCCGGCCACTCCCCTTCCTGCCAGCCGGTGGAGCGGATGATTCCGATAGCCGAAAATAACAAGAGAAAAGATGAGAACCTTCGCATTTACAATAGCAGTCGAGTACTTTTATCAGTATATAAATTAATTAACAAGCAACGGAGCTATTGGATATGGATGAAAATAAGAGATGCCTCCCAAGTAGCAATCACAAGACATTTGGTCTCAAAAAAAAAAAAAAGAACAAGTCAATACCTCAAGCAAGCCGTCTAGCCGAAACCTGACCCCAGCCGGTGGAGCAGATAATTCCGATAGCCGAAAATAACAAGAGAAAAGATGAGAACCTTCCCATTTACAATAGCAGTCGAGTACTTTTATCAGTATAAATTAATTAACAAGCAGCGGAGCTATTGGATTTGGATGAAAATAAGAGATGCCTCCCAAGTAGCAATCACAAAACCTTTGGTCTCAAAAAAAAAAAAAAAGAACAAGTCAATACCTCAAGCAAGCCGTCTAGCCGAAACCTGACCCCTCCCAAAATCAACGCCAAGAAAGAATTGAAGTGGTGGTGGTGGTAGTTGTTGTTGGGGCTTGGGGGAATTGGGGGATTTGAGAAGTGGTGGCCGAGAAGAAGCAAAGGATCAAGTTTTCTATTCTGTAGATAGATAGATGAAGATGAAGAACAAAAGAACAAAAAAGAGAATAAAGAAGGAAGAAGATGATTGGAAGCAGAAGCGGCGGAGGTCTAAAGTAGGCAAAAGAAGCAGAGGAAACCCTAATATGTGGAACAACTTTTTATTTTGGTGGCGCCTTGCATGAAGAGTTTAACATTTTAACGAGCTCATAAAAGATAGGGCGACCCACGTGCCGCGCACATGGGAGGACGACGAAACTTTTGGCTGAATGCCATTCGCACGTTATCTACTTATGTTGAGAAGTTGCCGGAAATCACAGGTCTCGACGGCGGCGATGATGAGACGAAGAGGTTTTGATGCTGCTGCTGCTGCTGTTTATATTTCTCAATTTCAGAAAGCATCAGTTACTATCGCTGCTGCTGCTACTGGTGAATTAGCTTTTCATTCTGCTGCCGATGCTACGAAATACCCATTTGAGGGTTTCACAAATGTGATTAATAACGACATAAACAATCTGGAGGATGCTGTGGGATTGTACAATGACATGGTCCGGATGAGGCCTCTGCCTTGTGTTATTCTCTTCAATCAACTCCTTGGCCGCATCGTTAAGATGAAGCACTATTCTTCTGCGATTTCCATTTTCAAAGATATGTGGTTTTTGGGCATTCCAGTTGATGAGTACACCCTGACTATCTTGATTAATTCTTACTGCCTCTTGGAACGAACGGATTTGGGATTTTGTGCGCCGGGGCTTTTCTTCAAGAATGGCATTGCCCCCACTGTGGCCACCTTTGGCACTTTACTCAAGGGACTCTTTCGACAGCACATGATTTCTCAGGCGCAAGAATTGTTCATCAAAATCATTCAAGAAAAGCTGTGTGAATCCAATGTGGTTATATTTGGAACTATAATCAGTGGACTCTGCAAGGCAGGCAGCACTAGTAAAGCCATTGAATTTCTCAGAGTAATGGGTAAAGAAGGAAGAGTTAAACCGGACGTCATAATTTACAACACTATCATTGACAGCTTGTGCAAGAATAAAATGGTAGATGAAGCTCTTGACCTTTTACATGAGATGGTGGAGCAGGGAATTGCCCCAAATGTTGTTACCTACAATTGTTTGATCCAGGGTCTTTGCAATTTTGGTAGATGGAGAGAAGCTAAAGTATTACTGACAGAGATGAATAATTTTCACGTTGTACGAGATGTTTTTACATTTAATATTGTGATTGATGCACTATGTAAGGAAGGAGAGGTAGAAGCTGCAGAAGATGTATTTAAAACCATGATTGAGCAAGGTGAGCGACCGGATTGCGTGACATATGGTGCTTTGATGAATGGATACTGTTCGCAGGGCCGAATGGATGAAGCAAGGAGAGTTTTTGACACCATGGTTGCTAATGGAGTTGTTCCAAGTAGTGTCAACTATAATATATTGATCAACGGATATTTTAAGAAGACGAGAGTAGAAGCTGCAGAAGATGTATTTCAAACCATGATTAAGCAAGGTGAGAGACCAAGTTGCGTGACATATGGTGCTTTGATGGATGGATACTGTTTGCAGGGCCGAGTGGACGAAGCAAGAAGAGTTTTTGACACCATGGTTGCTAATGGAGTTGTTCCGAGTGGTGTCAACTATAATATATTGATCAATGGATATTTTAAGAAAATGAGAGCAGATGATGCTGTACATCTTTTTGAAGAAATGCAGTGTAAAGGTTTAACACCTAGCACTGTTACATGCAATATAGTCTTGCAGGGATTGTTTAGGGTGGGAAGGTCTGGTGCTGCAAGAAAAGTGTTTGACAAGATGCTAATGACTCCCGTAATATCTGACTGGTATACTTACTGCGTGATGTTGGATGGATTATGCAAGGGTGGACACATCGAGGAAGCATTGAATTTGTTGCATAAGATGGAAATTCAGAGATTGGATCTCAAACATATAACTATGTACAACATCATTCTTGATGGATTGTGTAAAAGTGGGAGGCTTGATGGTGCTCGAGATCTTTTCAATAGTCTTTTTCTCAAAGGATTGGATCCTGATGTTATAACATACAACACCATGATTCTAGGCCTCTGCTCAAAAGGTTTGCTAAAGGAAGCTAAGGAGTTTCTCGCAAAGATGGAAGAGAATGGTTGCTTGGCAAATAGGATATCATACAATGTTATTGTCCAAGGACTTCTTTTGGGAGGTAAATATGATGATGCACTGGTGTATCTTGAAGAAATGGATAAGAGAGGATTCCCACTTCATTCACATACCTTTTCCATTTTATTAAATTCAGTTAAAGAGAGTGAAAACGATCCTTCTCTTCTCAAGATCATTCAGAAGTTTGTTCCCAGTATGAGGGAATACAGTCATGAATAAAAGGCACAGGTATCTTTTAGTATATTGCAATGATTCTTCGGATGTTACTCATATTGCCTGTGAATATCATTTTATGGTAAAGTATATGTTTGAAATATGGAAGTCTGATGTTGTTATATGCAGTGCAATGAGTCAAGGCCTGTGCACAAAAGATTAGCTAAAGGAAGCTAAGGACTTTTGCTAAAGGTGGAAGAGAATGGTGGCTTGGCAGACAGGATCATGTAAAATGTAATTGTCTAAGGACTGCTTTTGGGTGGTAAATATGATGCTACACTGGTGTATCTTGAAGAAATGGAATAGAGAAAATTCCCTCTGCATTCACCTACCATTTCCATTTTATTAAATTCATTAAAAGAGAGTGAAAGTGATCCTTCTCTTCCGAAGATAATTCAGAAGTTTGTTGCAAATATTAAGGAATGAAGTCATGAATATAAGGAACTGGGTATCTTTTAGTTGATTGCAACCATTTGCGACCCTGGATGTCATTGATTTCAGGTTAATGCTTTGAAGGTTTAAATCTCTAAGTTTGGGTGGATACATATTTTTGCCATTTGCTTGTCATATCAAAGCTTTTCTTAGTTTGTCCAAAATGCTACTTCTGGTAGGTGGTCACTTTTTCATTGCTGTGGCATTGAGCGTTACACTGGACTTGCGGTTAAGAGGAATGAGTAAGACAAACTCAAAGAATGGAAATGAGCCTTCATTTTCCCGGAGTAGGCTTTGTAGATAGGCATTCATCAGGTAAATGTTGGAAACATTACATAAAAATAAAAAAAAAAATGGAGAATCCCCAACCTCAATATTATGCTCCTAAGATCTTTTTGTTTGCCGCTAAACTCTCAGTACTCTTCTGCGGTTATCCTGCAGTGAATTTATTTTTGTTATTATTACCATATAAATATATATTTTGCCTTGGAATGGAGAATTTTCTGTCTCATGGCCTTTTGTACTACTCTTTGGCTCTTTGCTCTGCTTGGAGTGTTTGAGTTAAAATTTTCAATAAATGTTAACTCAGCTTAAAATTGTCTTGAAGAACTAGGAATGTTTTAAGTTCTACAACTTTTAGATGTCTTAGCTGCTGGAGCATGCTATACTGGTGCATTTTACTTGTTTATGAAGTTGTTTTTTAAGGATTAGCTAACCTACTTTGTTTAGACGTCATTAAGACAAAACAACCTTTCTGGCATTTTTTTTTTTTTCGGTTTATTCTTGTCAGAGACTGCTGACTGCTATTGCAAGATGCCTCACTACATTTTATGAGTAACTAAGGTTTGCACTTTGCAGCCTGCAGGTTCTACTTCCCAAGTTTTAAATTAACATTTTGGAACAAAAAATAGGTCCTGCTGCAAGAGTGTGCATGGAGTGGTGAGAAGATCTTTTCAGTTCCTTGAAACTGAACTTTCAACATGAGCAATTCACAGGTGAATTAGGGAGACATGCAAACAGCAATCTAATTGCATATAATTTTTTTTTAAATTAGTTTTAATAGAAAATTGGATGGCAACCTGAAGTGAATTGGATCATTTCGTGATCGTAAGTGGAAAAAAAAAATGAAAAGAAAAACACACATTTCTTTTTTGGCTCTAAAAGGCTGATCGTGAGGTTGTTTTGTACTTTGAGATTTCTTTCCATGTCCTTTTGTATGGCAAAGCTTCTTCATCTGGAATTTACTTGTTATATAGCTTCATTTTAATTGCACCTTCATTCTAGACCCTGCCTTGACAAGATCAAGTCAACTTCATCAGAAATTTAGTGCTCCATCCATCTGAATGGTCCAGGGATCTGATCCTGCAGGTGTACTAACTGATTGAGATTATTTTTTTTCCTGCTTAATCATCGAACTCCACCATTATCCTTACAGTTTTTGGGTTTAGTTATAATTGTTAGTTGATTTTTGCTTGATGAATTGGTGTTACAGATCCACTCTGGAAGGATGAATGTTCACCAGGTGTGAACTTTTGCAGAGCTGGCACAATGGGGCACTAGGGTCTGATCTCTCTATATCTTCGCACGTCTTTATTCTTGGTGTGTTGGTCTGTTTCTAACTGTTGGTTAGATAATGAGAGCTTGTTAGGGTTGTGAGCGTTCGGAAAATTTTTTTTTTTTTTTTTTTTTTTTGGGAACATATTCCTTTGATATGTTGTTTGAATTACCTTTTATGTCACGTACATTCCATCTATTCCATCTATCTAAAAGACGGCTGTAACATTATTTTTCAAATAGAGAACATTTGGATACCAAAATATTAGGAGTGAGGAGTTCTATGGTTCTTTCAAGGAATTATTCATTCAGTTTGTATCCCTCAAAAATGAATATATATAACTTTTAACTAAAGGTCTTATTCCTGCTCTTTTGAAAAAAGAGAAAATCTTTTATTAATCTAACTTTGACATTAGGTCGATGGCAAAATAAACTTCCCCATCTAGGAAATGAGAAAAAAAAAAAAGAAAAGTAAACCTTTCATCTCGTATTTATTCGATTGTCAGCGAAATTTTATTTAATAATGACATGTTGAGAGACTCGACTACAAGGAATCGATGGAGTTTGTTATACATGGTAATCTTTTTAATATACAAAAAATTAGATTTGAAACTTACTATTTGTTATCGTTGACTGGAATTTAGAAGTAAAAAATACTCCCTCCGTCCCACTTTGTTAGTCTTGTTTTCCTTTTTTGTCCGTCCCAAATTGTAGTCTACTTTCCCATTAAGAAATATAGTAATCTTTCAAATTGTCTAAAATACCCTTATTAAATATCTTGTTATTAATACATTGTTATTAAATACTAATCCACTACATTGAATACATTGAGTTTTTCCAATACATTGAATACATTGACTACATTGATTAGCATAAGGGTATTTTAGGAAATTATTAATCTAAATTTATGTTTTCAACCAAATTAATTATACTTTCTTAATCTGTGTGAAAAAAAATCAAGACTAAGAAAACAGGACGGAGGGAGTAATTGCTTATCAATTTAACTTCAGCATATAATCTTCGAGAGAGCGGTAAAATCTCCCCGTTCATTTGAACCACACTAACCTATGATTTTTCCTCAAGTTTTTTTTTTTTTTTTTGTTCTTTTTTAATAGAACTTTCCAAACTTACTATTATCAAACAAGAATACAGTAAAAAGGTATTGGGCACACCATGCGAGAGCAAGAGTGTATTAGATTAATCATCTATTACTAATCACTTGTCACCGATTTTACCAAGTAATATCGGTCACTTATCAGTCAATTACCAAGATGAGCATAGTATTATTGGCTTTTGAATTAACCTACTGACCCGCCACTCCTTTCCCATTCACATTTTCATCTTGCAGAGAAGCAGCTGTTTTATCTGATTAGCAAATTTGAAGACGAAGACGTAGACGACGGCGACGATGATGAAACGGAGAGCTTTTGCTGCTGTTATTTCTGCTTTTCAATTTGGGAAAGCATCGGGTACTACTGTTGGCGTTTCGCTTGTCTCTCAAAACCGATACAGGAAATCCAAATTAGTTTTTCTATTCTTCTGCTGCTCTTACTGATCCTATGAAATACCCACCTGGATATTTGACAAATATGAGTAATAATGAGATCAATAATCTGGAAGATGCTGTGGGATTGTACGATGACATGGTCCGGATGAGGCCTCTGCCTTGTGTTGTTCTCTTCAATCTACTCCTTGACCGCATTGTTAAGATGAACCACTATTCTTCTGCGATTTCAGTTTTCAAAGATATGTGGTTTTTGGGCATTCCAGTTGATGAGTACACCCTGACTATCTTGATTAATTCTTACTGCCTCTTGGAACGAACGGATTTGGGATTTTGTGCGCTGGGGCTTTTCTTCAAGAATGGCATTGCCCCCACTGTGGCCACCTTTGGCACTTTACTCAGGGGACTCTTTCGACAGCACATGATTTCTCAGGCGCAAGAATTGTTCATCAAAATCATTCAAGAAAAGCTGTGTGAATCCAATGTGGTTATGTTTGGAACTATAATCAGTGGACTCTGCAAGGCAGGCAGCACTAGTAAAGCCATTGAATTTCTCAGAGTAATGGGTAAAGAAGGAAGAGTTAAACCGAATGCCATAATTTACAGCACTATCATTGACAGCTTGTGCAAGGATAAAATGGTAGATAAAGCTTTTGACCTTCTACATGAGATGGTGGAGAAGGGAATTGCCCCAGATGTTGTTACCTACAATTGTTTGATCCAGGGTCTTTGCAATCTTGGTAGATGGAGAGAAGCTAAGGTATTACTGACTCAAATGAAGGATTTTCACATTCATCTAAATGTTATCACCTATAGTATTGTCATTGATGCGCTATGTAAGGAAGGAGAGGTAGAAGCTGCGGAAGATGTATTTCAAACCATGATTGAGCAAGGTGAGCGACCAAATTGCGTGACATATGGAGCTTTGATGGATGGATACTGTTTGCAGGGCCGAATGGATGAAGCAAGGGGAGTTTTTGACACCATGGTTGCTAATGGAGTTGTTCCGAGTAGTGTCAACTATAATATATTGATCAACGGATATTTTAAGAAGACGAGAGCAGATGATGCTCTACATCTTTTTGAAGAAATGCAGTGTAAAGGTTTAACACCTAGCACTGATACATGCAATACAGTCTTGCAGGGATTGTTTAGGGTGGGATGGTCTGGTGCTGCAAGAAAAGTGTTTGACAAGATGCAAACGACTAACATAATATCTAACTTCTACACTTACTGTGCGATGTTGGATGGATTATGCAAGGGTGGACACATCGAGGAAGCACTGGATTTGTTGCACAAGATGGAAGTTGAAAGAGTGGATCTCAGACATGTATGTATGTACAACATCATTCTTCATGGACTGTGTAAAATTGGGAGGCTTGATAGTGCTCGAGATCTTTTCGAGAGCCTATCTCTTAAAGGACTGGATCCAGATGTTTCAACATATACTACCATGATACAAGGCCTCTGCTCAAAAGGTTTGCTAAAGGAAGCTAAAGAGTTTCTCGCAAAGATGGAAGAGAATGGTTGCTTGGCAAATAGGATATCATACAATGTTATCGTCCAAGGACTTCTTTTGGGAGGTAAATATGATGATGCACTGGTGTATCTTGAAGAAATGGATAAGGGAGGATTCCCTCTTCATTCACATACCTTTTCCATTTTATTAAATTCAGTTAAAGAGAGTGAAAACGATCCTTCTCTTCTCAAGATAATTCAGAAGTTTGTTCCCAATATGAGGGAATACAGTCATGAATAAAAGGCACAGGTATCTTTTAGTATATTGCAATGATTTATGATCTTCGGATGTCACTCATATTGCCTCTGAATATGATTTTCTGGTAAAGTATATGTTTGAAATATGGAAGTCTGATGTTGTTATATGCAGTGCAATGAGTTAAGGCCTGTGCACAAAAGATTAGCTAAAGGAAGCTAAGGACTTTTGCTAAAGGAGGAAGAGAATGGTGGCTTGGCAGACAGGATCATGTAAAATGTAATTGTCTGAGGACTGCTTTTGGGTGGTAAATATGATGCTACACTGGTGTATCTTGAAGAAATGGAATAGAGAAAATTCCCTCCGCATTCACCTACCATTTCCATTTTATTAAATTCGTTAAAAGAGAGTGAAAGTGATCCTTCTCTTCTGAAGATAATTCAGAAGTTAGTTGCCAATATGGAGGAATGAAGTCATGAATAAAAGGCACAGGGTATCTTTTAGTTGATTGCAACCGTTTGTGATCCCTGGATGTCACACTTATATTGCCCCTGAAACATCATTTTCTGGGATGTAGGTGTTTCAGATAGGGAAGTCTGGTCTTCTTTTCTTGTTGAAGATTGTTCGCAACAAGCCTTTCAAAAGCTCTCCTGGACACTTCAGCGAAAGCTTGATGTCATTGCTTTTAGGTTAATGCTTTGAAGGTTCATTTAAACTCTCTTAGTCAGAGGGGATACATGTCTTTGCCGTTTGCTTCTTGTATCAAGAGTATGCTGGGTTTGTCCGAAATGCTACTTCTGGTGTCGTACTCATATTGCCTGTCCTGAGTTTTGAAGTGTGATCTTGTGTCTTGTAATTGCGTCATCCACAGTCAAGAATATCAGCAATCAAGCCTTGTAGTAGCACTTTTGGGCACTTTGTTGGAATCTTAATGTCTGCTGTTTGTAGGTCAATCCTTTCAAGGTCTAATGAGTCTCTCAGTAGCAGTGGATGCATGCTTTTGCTGTCTTCTTATCATATTGTAATTATTCTTGGTTTTGTTCAAAAATGCTACTTCTGGTAGGGTACCATTCTTTCATTTCTGTGGCAGCATGCATCACACTGAACTTGCAGCAAGGGGAATGAATAAGACTCCTTAAAAGGGATAGCATATGAGCCTTCACATTGTGGAACGAGTTTTAGTGGGAAGGCCTTCATCTCGGGTATATGTACGAAAAAGTGCAATGGAGAATCCCCAGGGTCCATGTTTTACTCCGAAGCTCTTCTTGTTGACAAATATACTGATAAGTGTTCTTCTGTGGGTGTCGTGCAGTCAACACGTTGCTACTGCTCTAATTGCCTTTTCAGTAATTCCCTGCTCTTCTCAGACTCTTGTGAGTTGCAACTTTCAGTTAGTAATGGTTCAGCATTAAGTTGTTTTCAAGAATTAGGATTGTTGAACTTGTGCTTATTAGGAGACTCAGCTGCTGGTGTAAAACTACTATACTCATGTTTTTCACTTGTTTGTTGACTTGTTCTTTAAGAATCATCTAAGCTGCTCTGTGTTATCATCCAACCTATGCAGCAATGTAAAAAAAAGAATTGGCGGTCAAGTCCAGTGACTTGGCGGTTCTCCTATTCAAATCCATCTTTCTTATCCCTTTCCCTGGGAAAAGAAAAAGTAATGAAAGAGAGTTCAAGAACAAAACCAGATGAAAAAAAAAAAGTGTCATGGGAAAGATTAAATTTCAGTACCATGTTATAAATTATCAATTTGATTTGTTTGAAGAGATTTGATCTAATGGCTAAATTTGAAGCCCGACGAATTAGAGATTTTGGATTTAAATTGTACTGCACTCTCCCTGCTTTTTGAGTCCTACTCCTCCCTTGCCGGAGATTTTTTTTTTTTTTTTTCCAAAAAAGGTTATCAATTTGATTTGTATGTACTTACTTTTAAAGACACAAAGCATTGGACTAATCGGACCATAGATGTGTCTATTTCTGGACACACATAGCAGTGAAAGTGAATTCTACTGAGTACAATTCATCAGGAGGCTTTGGCCATTTTCACCAAAGCCCAAGTTTCTTCAATGAAACTTCTGAAAATTGTATGTATGAAGCAGGAGAAAGAGATCCTTTCAACGATGAAAGTGCTTGTGAAAAGATAAATGAATCCCACCGGGTATACTCATCCTATTTTCAAGTGGATCCTCATTTCTATACAGGCAAAATGCACTTTGGCAAGAAAAGCCATGTAGTCAGAGGACCTGATGTATGACTAAGAAGTGGGAAATTTTGGCATTCACCAACGAAATGCAGCTTTAACAGGCAGCATGTTATGTATTATAAACAATAATACATTCTGTAATTGAACCTAAATTGTTGCTTTTGGATTGCAATTTTCTGGAGTTTCGTAGAAAATGTACTGTAACGATTTGATATATATGAGATAAAAGTTGATTGGGAAATATATTCACGAAAAAAGTAGAGATTTTTTTGATAGAAAATCCCTTTCCAAACAAGAAATAGATTTTGAGCCTGAGGTTATAAGGAGATTGACAAACAGCAGTTATGTGAGTGACTATCTGCTTCCTCCTGTTTCCTTCTGTGACCATTTGACAAGGACCGAAAGCCTTTGGTCTTTTCCCATTCTAAGCTAGCTTGGCCCTTTTTGTTTAGTTTATATTTCCCAGAGAGACCATAAAACAAAAGGCAATAATAAGCATCAAGTAATATAAGGGTCCCCCGTACCCGACATGATGCATTCCTTTAGGTCACGTCTAATTATTTTTATTTTTCTTTTCTTTTCTTAGAGTCTCATATTTTTCATTATTCGTGACCTTTCCAAAGAGTCCGCATTAAGCATCACAATTAATGTGATTGGCACCAATTGAGCTTTGAAGAGAAATTTTGACCCCTTTGTATGAATAAAAAAAAAAGTAATATAAGGGAATTGATATTTTGTCCTGGAACCAAACAACAGGTAACCTAACACAACACAAGATAACTGAGTGCCTATTATTAGACAAATGAAAAACTTAAAATTTTCTTAAGAGCTTCATCAGATTTGTGAATATCTATGGATAATTCCTGTAAGTGAAGATCATTAAGGTAATTTTTTTCTTATGACTTTTTATATATGAAACACTCCAAAGCTTTTACAATCAAGTTTTGATGAATCCGTTATTAGGACTATAAACGAATGAAAAGCTTTAAAATTAAGTAAATTTCATTTATGGTGACAATTGTAATTAGACAGATTTAGTGCATTCAAATAATTGATAATAATGATAGCGGTTATGAATTAAAAGTTGGCAATTAAAAAATAAAACACTGCAATATATAAAAAGTTAATATTAAAATTATTAATTAGCCACAATTCTCATTCTAGTTCCATGATCATCAAAAAAACTAATACTAAAATCAAAAATATTATACTCATATGAAAAAAATAAACTTGTTTGCTTTTGCTTTGCACAGGATTGTGCTAAAAACATGAATAAAAGAAAACGAAAATATAAAAACTCCAACTATCTTTATTTATAAAATTTCAATTGTTAGAATGTACAAGCCAAAAAAACCTTACGTGATGGATCATCTATTATCAATATTTGATATGTTAGAATTCAAGCTATAAATCAAAAAGTATTTGGTTCATGATTTCACATTTAATCCTAAGGGATATGTCAACTACATTGGAATGTTTTCTGTCTCTTTTCATTTAATAAAAATTTTAAAAGTAACTAGGTTACAAAAATAAATAACATAAAAATACTATATTATAATGTTGATGATCAAATTTCATAAAAATTTTTTAGTAAAGAATAATATATTTTAAGATATTACAATCACATGCAAAGTACGTGAACTATTACTAGTGTATATATATAATGTGAAGTGAGTCGTATGCACATTTTTTAACTAATTTTATTTTAAATACCTTTTTATTTCGCATACGTTACGCATCTCATATTACAAAAATCGCTATAGGATTTTTACAAATAATTATTCTAAATAATCTCGTATCCAAACTTAACAATTGATTTTTATTCTAGCTAGAACTCAAACCTATCAGAATTTGAAAATGGGATAATTTTCCAAACCCCCCCTGTGGTTTATGATAATTTCATTCAGCTCCTCTCAAGTTTTTCAAATTACACTAACCTCCCTTATCACAATAAAATGATTACAATGACCTTCACTTAATAAATAATTCATAGTATAATGAAATGAGATTGAAAAAAAGCAAAAGAAACCTAACCTCTTCGACTATCTTATTTACAAGTTACAATTAATGACGATTCTCTCTTACTTATTATCACTCCGTTCTCATCCATCAACCGCTGCATCCTATGACTCGCTCTCAAATTATTACTAACCATTGTATAACTGTAACCAATCACACCACAAATGAACCCTCAAACTCTACTATATATTCCTATTCCTTCTTTTTTCTATTTAGAATTGCCAAATTACAAGTTTAGTTGAGGGATTAGATTTGATGATTGAAGTAAAATTTGATTTTATAGTCAAACTAAAAGAAGATGAAAAAGCACACAATAATAATGGAACAAATAATGCAATCATTGCCCAAAAGAGGAAGAGGAATTGAAATTGGTAAATCTGCTAATTTGTCTATCATCCATCCAAAAAACTTTTTAAGATGTTAATAAGTACATTTTTATATATTTTTTATGCTTGACAATTGTTGGTTATGGTTTTCGCTACGGAGATGGAGTTTTTTCTCTGTATTTAAGACGTTAACATATTTGAAGATTTTATAGTAGGTTAGATTATTTTGTTTTGAGAAGATGTGGGCATTGGGGTTTAAAGTTTGGGGTGTGATTAGTTGTAAATAAAATTTTAATTTTTGGCAAAATGAATTTTTTGAAAATCTTTATAGTCATGATGATGCATTTCCTTCTCTTGAACTTGATTAATTCAATCCATGCCTATGATAATGGAATTGCTTGGGTTTAGAATTTGAAATTAAACTATTTGTTAAGCTAGTTTGTTAGTCTAATAGGTTTGGTTGAAATATAGAAGAAAACAATTGGCAAAATAATTTTTATTATATTTTTGTACAAAAAAGGTAGTTTAAGATTTTTGAGAGAAAAAAAAGCCTTTTGGACCTATATTGTTTTATAAACAGTAAAAGCAAGGAAGGCAGGCGTAATTTAATAAAGTTGAGGAAAGGTCTTTGCAATTATCAGAAACCTCAGGGGAGGTTTCTGAAATTATCCCTTTGAAAATTTATTCTAAACAATCTCCTGTCCAAATTTAACAATCCGTTCTTGCTCCAGCCAAGACTCAAACTTGTCTGAAATTGGGTTTAAATCGATCCCGAACTGTTAAGTTAAAGAGCCTTGTTTGTTTGGAACCCTACAATTTGAAATGCACGTTAGGCAGTAAAAATTTGCACAGCTCCAGATCCAATAATCTGAAAAAAGGTTTCCTTCTTGTATATTTAAATGACCCTCCTCAGACTTCTTGTTGTGTTTTTTTCAAGATTCTGGCTTTCTTCTCCCTGATTAACAATCTTATGGTGAGGAAGACAACCATGATGTTAAAAAGAAGAGCTTTTGGTTCTATTGTCTCTATTTCTATGTTTCAGAAAGAATCAGCTGAAATAGGTACTGCTACTAGCACTTGTACTGCCGCTACATTTCTCCTTCCAAACCCCTATTCAAAACCCATATTATCCTTTCATTCTGCTGCTGATGCTATGGACTCCCCACCTGTTGTTTTGACAAATCTGATTAATAACGATATCAATAATCTGGAAGAAGCTCTGTTTTTATACAATGATATGGTTCGAAGCAGGCCTGTGCCTTACGTTTTTCACTTCAATCAACTCCTCAGCCGTATTGTTAAGATGAAGCATTATTCTCCTGCTATTTGCGTTTTCAAAGATATGTACTTCTTGAGCATTCAGGTTGATGATTACACCCTGAATACTGTGATCAATTGTTACTGCCTTTTGAATCGAGTGGATTTGGGATTTTGTATATTGGGGGTTTTCTTCAAGTATGGTATTGTCCCTGATGTGACCACCTTTAACACTTTGCTCAGGGGACTCTTTCGACAGCACATGGTTCCCCGGGCGCAAGAATTGTTTGGGAAGATCATCTGTGAAAAATTATGTGAACCCAATGGGGTCATGTTTGGAACCGTGATTAATGGACTCTGCAAGGCAGGGAACACAGGCAAAGCCGTTGAATTTCTCAGAGTTATGGGTAAAGAAGAAAGAGTTAAACCGACTACCATAATTTACAGCACTATCATTGACAGCTTGTGCAAGGATAAAATGGTAGATAAAACTCTTGACCTTTTACATGAGATGGTTGAGAAAGGCATTGCCCCAGATGTTGTTACCTACAATTGTTTGATCCAGGGTCTTTGCAAATTTGGTAGATGGAAAGAGGTTACTAAGCTGCTGATTGAGATGAATGATTTTCACATCGTACGAGATGTCTTTACATTTGGTATTGTGATTGATGCACTATGTAAGGAAGGAGAGGTAGAAGCTGCAGAGGATGTATTTCAAACCATGCTTAAGCAAGGTGAGAGACCAAGTTGCATGACATATGGTGCTTTGATGGATGGATACTGTTTGTAGGGCCGAGTGGACAAAGCAAGAAGAGTTTTTGACACCATGGTTGCTAATGGAGTTGTTCCGAGTGGTGTCAACTATAATATATTGATCAATGGATATTTTAAGAAAATGAGAGCAGATGATACTGTACATCTTTTTGAAGAAATGCAATGTAAAGGTTTAACACCTAGCACTGTTACATGCAATATAGTCTTGCAGGGATTGTTTAGGGTGGGAAGGTCTCGTGCTGCAAGAAAAGTGTTTGATAAGATGCTAATGACTCCCATAATATCTGACTGGTATACTTACTGTGTGATGTTGGATGGATTATGCAAGGGTGGACACATCGAGGAAGCATTGAATTTGTTGCATAAGATGGAAATTCAGAGATTGGATCTCAAACATATAACTATGTACAACATCATTCTTGATGGATTGTGTAAAAGTGGGAGGCTTGATGGTGCTCGAGATCTTTTCAATAGTCTTTTTCTCAAAGGATTGGATCCTGATGTTATAACATACAACACCATGATTCTAGGCCTCTGCTCAAAAGGTTTGCTTAAGGAAGCTAAGGGCTTTTTCATAAAGATGGAAGAGAATGGTTGCTTGGCAAATGGGATCACATACAATGTTATTGTCCAAGGACTTCTGTTGGGTGGCAAATATGATGATGCACTGGTGCATCTTGAAGAAATGGATAATAGGGGATTCCCATTGCATTCACATACTTTTTCCAAATTATTGAATTCATTAAAAAAGAGTGAAAATGATCCTTATCTTCTTAAGAAAATTCAGAAGTTTGTTCCCAATATGAAGGAATAAAGTGGTGAATAAAGGGCACAAGGTATCTTTTAGTAGATTGCAACTGTTTGCAATCCTTGGACTCATGTTGCCTCTGAAGCATCATTTTCTGTGAAATTATATGTTTCAAGTAACGAAGTCTGCTCCTTTTTTCCAATGATTATCTCTTTCCTGTTGAAGAATGTTAACAACCAGCCTTTCAAACCAGCCTTTCAAAAGCACTCCTGGGCACTTCAGTAGAAGTTTGATGTCATTGATTTCAGGTTAATGCTTTGAAGGTTTATTTAGACTCTCTTAGTTGGAGTGGATACATGTTTTTGCCATTTGCTTGGCATATCAACGCTATTCTTGGTTTGTCCAAAATGCTACTTCTGATAGGTGGTCACTTTTTCGTTGTCGTGGCATTGAGCATTACACTGGACTTGCGGTTAAGGGGAATGAATTAGATGCCCTAAAAGGATAGGAAATGAGCCTTCATTCTCCTGGAATAGGTTTTGTAAATAGGCGTTCATCAGGTAAATGTTGGAAATATTATATATACATATATATATATATATATATATATATAATTCAGGAACCCCAACCTTAATATTGTGATCCTTGGCTCCTTTTGTTGGCCAATAAACTGAAAGTACTCTTCTGTGGTTATCCTGCAGTGAATTTATTTTTATTATAATTAGTGTTTTTTTTCCTTGAGTTTTACCTTGGAAAGGATAATTTTCTGTCTCATGGCCTTTTGTATTACTCTTCGCTCTTCTTGGAGTCTTTGAGTTAAAACTTTCAGTAAATGTTAACTCAGCTTAAAGTTGTTTTGAAGAATTAAGAATGTTTATGTTCTACAATTTTTGAGCAACTTAGCGGCTGGAGCATGCTATACTCACACTGGTGCATTAAACTTGTTGATTAAGTTGTTTTTTAAGGATTAGATAACCGACTTTGCGTAGAAGTTATTAAGACAAATAACCTTTTTGGCATTACTTTTAGTTTATTCTTGTCATAGACTGCTGACTGCCATTGCAAAATATCTCCATAGACTGCTGACTGCCATTGCAAGATATCTCGCCACATTTTATGAGACTTTAACATCTGAAACAAAGGTTTTGCAGCCTGCAGGTTCTACTTATCAGGTTTTAAATTAACATTTTGAAACAAAAAATAGGTCCTGTTGCTAGAGTTTGCATACAGTGGTGCACAGATCTTTTCAGTTCCTTGAAACTGACTTTCAACATGAGCAATTCACAGGGGAATTAGGGAGAGACGTGCGAAAAGTAATCTAATTGCAATTGAATTTTTTTAATCACCTTTTACTAGGAAACAGGATGGCAACCTGAAGTGAATTGTATCATTTTGTGATTGAAACAAAAAAAAAAGGAAAAAAACACATTTTTTTGGCTCTAAAATGCTGATCATGAGGTTGATTTTTATTTAGAGATTTCTTTCCGTGTCCTTTTGTATGGCAAAGCTTCTTGAGCTGGAACTTGCTTGTCAAATAGCTTCATTTTAATTACACTTCATTCTAGACCCTGCCTTGATAAGATCAAGTCAACTTGATCAGCAATTTAGTCCCCCATCCATCTGAAGGAACCAGGGATCCCGATCCTGCTGGTGTACTCGCTAATTGAGATTATTTTTTTGTTCCTGCTTAATCATCAAACTCCACCATTATGCTTACAATTTTTGGGTTTAGTAATAATTGTTAATTGATTTTTCCTTGATGAATTGATATTACAAGTCCACTCTGGAAGGATGAATGTTCTTCAGATGTGAACTTTTGGGGAGCTGGCTCGTTAAACTGATGATTTCAATGGGGCACTAGGGTGTGATGTCCCTATCTCTCTATATCTTTGCATGCCTTTATTCTTGATGTTTTCTTCCGTTTCCAACTGTTGGCTAGGTTGAGTATCTTTGGATTGCGAGTCTTCAGAAAAAATTTTTCGGGAATAGATTCCCTTGATATGTTTTTGAGCTATCTTTCATCTCACATACATCCCATCTCAAAAGGGGCTGTTGTATTATTTTTCAAAAAGAGAACATTTGGATGCCAAAACATTATGAGCGTGGAACTAGTTATGCACCCAAAATGGAATGGATAAAGAGAGGATTCCCCCTGCATTTAGAGTGAAAATGATCCATCTCTTCTCCAAGATGATTCTGAAACTTGTTCCAAATTGGAAGGGATAAAAGTCATGCATATATGTTCCAAATTGCTGATGGAGGCTCTTCTCTGTCTCTGTGTATTGTTAGTTTTGGAAAATATTCTATGTTATACACAGATATGTCGATGTTTAGCCCGTCAAACTAAATTCTCTTTGCAGGTTGAACCATGAGGACTTGGATGAAGGAAAAGAAGACAGCCAACTTAAGTAACCATGCATAGATTTCCATCCGGATTCAGGTAAGTTGAAGAAAGCCTAAAGCACATGCTCTCATCCGAACCCATTCCTTTTTAATCATTTTCCCTGCGAAAAGAAAGAAGGAGTTCAAGAATCAAATCAGGAGACAGGTTATTTTCTTCTACCAACTCTAAGCCTTGCAAGTTAACAATATGATTTGTGTGTATTCATTTGTAATTCACAAAGCAGTGGAGTATTTGGGCTACAAATGTACTTGAGTAGTATTTTTTCAATACACAAAGCGGTCAATTCATAATTCTTTTTAATACTGAAATTAAGCAGCAGATTGAGATCCGAGAACCAGATGATGTTGAGGCTCCTTGGGGAAAAAAAGTAAATGAATCCCACCATTTTTTTTTAATATCTGGAAGATAATGCATGAATCTTTTTGATGCCTGCTGAACCCATGAGTAGGGTTATAAACAAATCCAAGTAAACCTACTAGTTTTTAAACCGTCTGACTCGATCTGAAAGTTTGGACTTGAGTTTAAATCTTTTGTGGGTTTAAAATGTAAGTTCTGAGATTGATTCATTTGTATATTTTTTCTATTTCTAATACTATTTTATCAATAATGCATAGCTATTCTTGTATAATGAAAAGAACATATGTTAAGATATATTGACTGAAACTGTTATTTGAGCCTCCTCTTAAGCTTTAATGCGTCAATTATCTACAAGTTCAAACACGATTTGATAATTTAATTAATTCAAGGGTTATAATATCTCAGACTTCCCTGAATATGCCCAAAAGTGCTCCCCGAGGGATTAGTTGTATTCAATCTTAAACCCATATTCTGATCAAAAGTAATTATTGTGAATCTGCATCATGTACCTTCCAGCAAAATTAAATCTTAGGAGCAAAAGAGCACTTTGATATCCAGCAATCCAATATGGTCCTGCATTTATGACTCTGAAATCTTGTAGTTAAGAAAATCAGACTCCCCAAGCATCCAAAACAAGAGAAAGATCACTTTCATCCTCTTTAATTGAACGAAGCAAAGCTTACAAAGTAGACAAAAGCAGTCAGAATCCTCTCCCATGCATTTCATCACAACATACCCCTGCACCATCATATTTATCCTGCATTTATATGACTCTGAAATCTCGTAGTTGAGAAAAATCAGACTTCTCAATTATCCAAAGCAAAATGTACAAAGTTGACAAAGCAATCAGAATCCTCTTCTATGCATTTTCATCATAACATACCCCTGCATCATCATATTTACTAACCTCAAAGAGTTGGTGGACTATACCTTTGGTGCACAACCATTCTCTCCCAATCTCTAAACAAACTTTTTAGCATCTTCAGCAAACCCTCAAACAAGAGCCATTTGTTGCCGTGCTATATGTTGCACGATCATGATTCAATTGTTTAGGAGAAAGACTAGGGAAAACATGTTGTCCATGGTCAAGCCTTCTCTATATTTATGACTTAAACCTTCCTATTTGGAACAAACTTCTGGATTATCTTGAGAAGAGAAGGATCAGTTTCACTCTCTCTTAATGAATTTAATAGAATGGAAAAAGTATAAGAATGCACCGGGAATCCCCTCTTATCCATTTCTTCAAGATACACCAGTGCATCATCATATTTACCTCCCAAAAGAAATCCTCGGACGATAACATTGTACGTGATCCCATTTGCCGAGCAACCATTCTCTTCCATGTTTACAACCAACTCCTTAGCTTCCTTTAGCAAACCTTTTGAGCAGAGCCCTTGTATCATGGTACTATATGTTGAAACATCTGGATCCAGTCCTTTAAGAGACAGGCTCTCGAAAAGATCTCGAGCACTATCTAGCCTCCCAATCTTACACAGTCCATGAAGAATGATGTTGTACATACATACATGTCTGAGATCCGCTCTTTCAACTTCCACTTTGTGCAACAAATCCAGTGCTTCCTCAATGTGTCCACCCTTGCATAATCCATCCAACATCACACAGTACGTGTAGAAGTCAGACATTATGTTAGTCGTTTGCATCTCATCAAACACTTTTCTTGCAACATCAGACCTTCCCACCCTAAACAATCCTTGCAAGATTGTATTGTACGTAGGAGTGTCAGGTGTTAAACCTTTACACTGCATGTCTTTAAGGAGATGTAGCGCATCATCTGCTCTCATCTTCTTGAAATATCCATTCATCAGTATATTATATATGAAGTTATCGGGAACAACTCCGTTGGCAACCATGGTGTTAAAAACTCTCATTGCTTCATCCATTTGGCCCTGCAAACAGTATCCGTCCATCAGAGCAGCATGTGTTACGTTGTTAGGTTTTTCACCTCGCTGAATCATGGTCTGAAATACATCTTCTGCAGCTTCTATCTCTCCATCCTTGCAAAGAGCATCAATCACAGCACTAAAAGTAAAAACATCCAATGAAATGTGAAAATCCTGCATCTCAGTCAGTAACCTAGCAACCTCTTTCCATCGACCTAAATTGCAAAGACCATGGATCAAGCAGTTGTAAGTAACGATATTCGGGGCAATGCCTTTCTCCACCATCTCATGTAAAAGGTCAAAAGCTTTATCTACCATGTTATCCTTGCACAAGCTGTGAATGATGGAGCTGTAAATAACAGCGTTCGGCTTAACTTTTCGTTTTTGCATAACTTCAAGAAACTCAATAGCCATGCTGGTGTTCCCCGCCTTGCAGAGCCCATCGATTATAACTCCATACATTTTCTCATCCGGTTCACACAATTTTCGATAGATGATCTTCTTGAACAATTCTTGTGCTTGGGAAACTCTATCCCATCGAAACAGTCCATTGAGTAAAATGGAAAATGTGGCGACATTAGGGACAACACCACGCTTGAAGAAAGCACCTAATGTACAAAACCCTAAATCCACTCGACCCACGAGGCAGTAACAAGTGACTACTGTGGTAAGGATGTATTCGTTGACCGGAATGCCCAGAGCCCACATATCTCTGAAAAGGGAAATAGCAGAGGAATAATGCTTCAGCTTAATTAAACGGCTTAGCAGTTGATTCAAGGGAATAACATTATTCAGAGGCCTCGTTCGAACCATATCATCGTACAATCTCAGTGCATCTTCCAGATTATTGATGTCATTATTAATCTGATTCCTCAAACCCCAAGATGGGTATTTTTCCTTAACAGCAGCAGCAGAACCTGAACGAAAAGCTAATTCAACAGCAGTAGCAGAGGTACCTGATTCTGATGGAGCTGATGCTTTCTCGTATGGAGAAATAGAAAAAGCAGCGCCCAAACCTCTTCGTTTCAACATCGTCGTCGTCGTGGTCACCTTAAAAATTGCTAATCGCCTATTTTATATGTGTCTTTCTTTTCAGTTTGGGATGCGGAAGGAGTTTGAATCAAGCCCTGTTTGGCTACTGGGCTTTGATTGCACTACATTCCCTTTTCTGATGCTTTGATAAGGAGACGCTAAAAAGATGCAACTGCTTTCTAGTACTACCATGTTTCATGTTCCTTTTTAGCTATTTTATCTTTTGTGTTAATTCTTGTTTGAAATATTTTGCCTAAGCTCTAAAGAAATAATAGTGAATGACGTTAAATTTGCTTCATCAACCTTTTATGTTTGATCAAATTCCCGGGTAAAATTTCCGCCTTTATTTAGCTCGAGCTCAAATTTATTTGAAGTAGAGTTCAAATTGTGCTCAAGCTCTATAACACCATCATCATATTGAGCTTGTTTTGAACTAGGGCTGCAAACGAATCGAGCTGCTCTCGAGTCAAACTCGAGTTCGAGTTCGAACTCAGAATATTAAGCTCTGGCTTGGGTATATATATATATATATTTTTTTTATTTAATAATAAAATTACATATATTATATATATATATTTTTTTTTTATTTTTTATTTTCATAATAAAATTACGTATATATCCTTAATATTTTATTATTTATTAAGAAAAAAATATTATTTTATTTATTTTTTAAAAAATAAAATAATTTTTTTTTTTTCGAGCTCGGGCGCGAAATTTGCCCGCTCGTCGAGCTCGAGTTTGGTAAAATTTAATCGAGACTCGACTCGATTAGCTCAAAACTCGACTCGACTCGACTCGTTTGCAGCCCTATTTTGAACACGATCGTTGAAAGCTTAACAACTTTAGTAGAATTATCAAAATTCAACTCAAATAGTTTACATTTTCTTCTCTCTTTCTTTTTAGTGCAAACAGACACTCCAAATCTTACAAAGGAAAAAAATGGGCTCGGATTACTTCCTAGCCACCAATATAGCGGGTAGTACTGAGATTGAGCCCAGAACACATGGAGACGTATTTGGGCCCAGAGGATTTTCAGTACTTCTGTTGAAGGTTAGCAGGCGGCAACCACGCACAAGCCCACACCAAAACCCTAAAATATAAAATCCTTCGCCATCCCCTTCCAGCTCTCCACTCCTGCCCTCCGCTTTCTTCTCCAGCTTCTGTTTATAGAGCCACCAACGAATGCATCTGTGCTTCACCTGAAGCCTTTTCTTCTTTCTTTTTTCTGTTTCTGCCTTTGTTCTATGTTCCTCCACTGAGGCTTTGCTTTTTTTTTTTTTTTTTTTTTATATATATGTACATGGAAGAATGCTATGATGATAAATGTTAATCCCAGCTCATTATGAGGCCTTCTGGCTTCCAACTAGAAGGTCCAGGAATGGACTTTTTTCCAACATCTGTCTGAGCTTGAGCTTCTTCAATCCTTTGTTTTAACTTCTTTTTATTTTCCAGGTTGCCCTAGGATCTGGGATTTTCCGTTTTGATGAATTGCAATCTAAACAACTGGGCTTTTGTTCCCTGTGATGTTCTTATCCAAACCATGCTAATTCTGAATCATTTTTTGATTGAAATTTGTAAATTATCATTTTCTGAGGGAACAGGAATAGCCCTTTTGTTTACTTTCTGTTTCACTTTTTTTTTTTTCCTTTGGGGTCCAATTTTGCTTGAAACATAGATAAGATGATGGGTTTGACACTTGATTTTCTTGAATGCATGATAATTGATCAGAGGGAAATAAGGAAAATTGGTGTACAATGAGATATCTTCCAGTACCAATTCTGTTCTTTTACCTGCGCATTGACTTGGTATTCTCCATGGCATTTAGTGTAAAGTTGTATAAAGTTGAGTTAACCTTTGATGGGGCAAAGGATCAAAAGATGCTCTGGAAATCTCTCTGTCAATATCAACCTTCTAGAGTGACAAGCTTTAGAGTTCCATAAGAGAGAATAATTCCTTTGATTGCTAGGGCGTCTGGTTGAACCTGGTTTCTATCTTGTTTAATTGATGAAATTAGCATTCTTAAATTGATCAGCAAAGAAAGAGCAAGAGTGGGGAAAAACAACATAAATGAAGTCCATGGGCCTCAAGGCACTTTGATTTTGACTTTTTTCTTTCAATCGACACTTTCTACGCCACTGATGAAATCCATGGGTCTCAAGGCTGATTTTTTGTTTTTCAACTACATTATTACTACTGTTACTCCTATACTAGTCTACCTAAGGGAGGGCTCAATGCTACTCTTGTGTTACTCTTACACTAACCTGTCTAAGGGAGGTCTTAATTGGGTCAAATGCAACCGACCGGAAGGGAGCGATGAATAGAACCACTGAGGTCGGGGGTCGGGGATCGAGGGGATAGAATTATTATTGGATCAATTGGATTAGAAGGAATCGATGGAAATAGAACTAACTTAGGTCACGAGGATAGAATTATTATTGGATGTCAAGGATTCAATCCCTCGATCTATACTCAAAGAGAGTTTGGCCAACTACTTTTGGAATTCAATCCCTCGACCTAAAAAGTTTTAATTTTGTCCAGGTCCTTAACGCTGTCTCCTTCAAGTTCAATGAATTATTACTTCTTCATCATTGAATTCCCATTTTGGTATACGCAAAATCAATCTTAAACAGGCATTGTCTGAAAAAAAAAAATGTTTTAAATTGTGGCAACGTCCTTGACGTTTTCTCCTTGTGTAGTTCAATGAATTATTACTTCTCAATCATTGAATATCTATTTTGGTATATGCAAACTCAAGCTCGGATTACATTACTTAATGCAATATTAATTGAAAAATGTTGGTTATCAAGATCAATACGTAATGAGCTTTACCTATCTACTTGTTAGATAAGAAATTGTAACAATCACCTTCAAGGTGTATCATCCAGCTTAAAACGTGCTTAGAGTATCTCTCTTTTTTTTTTTTCTTTAGGGGGATACTTTATTATTATTATTTTTTATAAGTAGGAGATTTTCTGTCATAAGGCAGGAGGGAATCAGTTCCAAAATTTTCACTTTTGTTTTTTTTTTCGACAGAGGGTGTCCGGGCCTTCAACCCAACGAATCTCCAGCGATCCGAGAGAGGACGTCCCAATCCACTCCGAACGCGTTAATAGCGGGACTCGAACTCTAATGGACATGTCTAAAGGGGAACAATTACACCGGTTGAGCTACTCCGCTGGGGGCTTCCAAAATTTTCACTTGAACTTGGACAATAATGAATGTTCTCATCTGAATTGATGAAATACTGATTGATTGATTATGTGTATTTTATCATCTCCAAATATTAATAATGTGGATTCATACAACAACATGGAATTATTAAAGTAATCACTACATTTACTGCTATATAATACAGTACTCCTATTAGCTGTAAACAATTCTGGATTTCTGACGTTTGATGAAAGAGATTAGGTATAAGCTTCTTCTGCCTATGAGAAGATGTTGGCAAATTCTTGAACACGATGAGGTTGCCTTACTGCATGTGAAATTATTGTTATCACTAAAGAAAGTGCTTGTAATTTGTGATGACTGACAAGTACTTACGTGACAAATAACAATTAATTTTCTACACTGTCGAATTTGACATTATAATATGCCTTTTTTCTATTATGATTCAGTTAATAAAGTGCCCAATTGCCCCAAACATACCAACTCAAAATTTCTGTCCAAATAATCCCTCTTCAAAAAAAAAAAAATTTTGTGCCAACAGGATATAAAAAGGTGTGCTGCTGCATTCGATTTCACAAAAGAAGGATTGATGGAAGTTGTAGACCTTTCGGGAACATTTGTTTTCTATGATAATGAACTTAACTATATCATGAGTTTTCTTTCTTCAAATGTAACTCTCACTTACACTCCCTCCTCCTTCTATACTATTCAACCCACCTCTACGCTCAATTGCATCATAAGTTAAGTATTTAAACTTTATTTTTGTTTCAATTCCTCCCATCTTATCATTTAATTCAACCCTTTCCTGAAATAGGTATTTACGTTTTGTTTTTGACTGACAGAAAATAACGGGTTTTCAAACGGCTGCTTAATCCAACCTAAGCTCAAAACATTGCAAAATCTATATGGTGCGGAATGTTTTTATATTCTGTAAAGTCAATCTATATGCTTTTCAAAAAAATTTTATATGGAAAATCTAAATTAGGTTGCTGGTTTGCTAACCTAACATTTCTAATGATATGATGCAATGAAAGATGGACACTTTCAACCAAAAGCCAAGCGGAAGGAAGCGAAGAACCACATAATGAGGTAGAGATTTGGACGCAAAAATCATGATCAGACATCACCCCAAATCCATCACTATAGATTTGCCAGTAGTGCTTTGATACCTTGTGCCTAGTGGTGCAATAGCGAAATGAAAAGGATGGGACCAATCAATCGATTCATTTTAGAACTCTGTGTATTCTTCTTGTATCAGTTTTTTGCTGCATCGTCCCACATGTACTCATGCGCCTAATTTCTACATTCTTCATCCAGTCTTGCTTAACTTCCGGTGAATAATTCATTTGGCCTGGTTTGAAGAAGGGACTTACTAAATAGTATCAAATTAGCCTAGTACATTCTTAAGAAGTGTTCATTTACCAAAAAGACAGTTTTTTTTTTTGGTCCATTTACAAAAAGATATTGAAAATCACAACATTTCTAAACGACAGAAACAAATATCAAAAACCCTAAAAATCAAGGAAATTGGTAATTATTTAATTTGTTTCTGTCATTTAAGTCGCATGGCGCTTAATATAAGATTTTTATTTTTTTTATAATATTACAAGAAACCCATAATAATAGACTCACAAATAGTGAACATTACAACTATTACAATTCAATAGCACTAAAACTCTAATTAACAAATGTTAGGATAAGCCAACCATTAGGATCAGTTCAGTGGTGGTCAGGGAGCGAGTCTTCCTCATTGTCAAGTTCCAAAACTCCAATCCTATATTCTATGCCTGGCATTTGGGGTGGAAGGTTTAAACAAAATGCTAAAATACCCA